AGAAAATACGGAAGTAGAAGCACTAGGGCTTTCACATTCAGCTCAAGAACACTTTTCTGAGAAGCAGGAAATCTTAATGCACAAAGGGACTTTTTCCCCATCAAAAATTGCAGGAGGAAAAATTAATCAAGAATGCTTTTACTGGCCTTTGTTTAACTTTCTGTCCAGGTTCCATTCAGTATCACAAGCACATTTGTATTTTGCGTAGGCTGCAAAGGAACAGGTAAACACTCATTCAGTGGCGAAAGGAAGAGAGACAATATTCCAGCTGTGGAGCCTTTTCAGGTGTTAGTTATTCAGGTCTTTATTTTTGCTTCATCGCGAAATTGAAAAACAGCAAACCCTTGAGTGCTTCACCCTTCACGCGATGTATCACATAAACATCAATAAAATGTGGTACACCACTACCTGGTCAAAGAAAGATTTAAAAACTGAAGGCAGGTTTACAGGGTTACCGTGTTGATTTGAGAGGTTTAAGTTTGGGGTGAAATACTGCTAAATAATGTACATAATATTGTTACCAGTTTGCAACCAAAGCTGAAGTCTTTACAAACCACAGTCATATCAAGTTTGTCAAGTTCATAAACCTGCAATGCGTAGCCTCATGAAAGTCTGTTTCTAGTGCACCTCTGAAGCATCTGCACCGATTTCACCCGCCTTTGGAGACCTGTTCAGCAAGTCACTGACATCAGCCTCAGCCAGAACTCCAGTTGAAAAATAAAAGCTAATTATAAAACAGAAAGGACAATTCCTGCAAATATGGAAAAGAGATCCTATTGTGGGCTATTTGGTGCATCTTGAATAGAGAGCATTTGGCCTCCTTGGTCTTTCTGTGGAGACCCAGCTGGCACCGACTGGAGATTGAAAACCTATTCTGACTAAACGGGCACCCCTATTACCCCTGTACACCCATAGCTGTGAGCACCAAGTGTCCAAGGACAAAAGAAGCTAATTAATGCTAACAAATTAGATCAACTGTAGAGATCCAAGGTTCTGTATGTACGGTTAAATGCTCATGTAAAAAGAGAGCACGTCACTTAATTATTTGTGCTGCTGGCTATAGAGAGATCCTTTCGCCGAATGAAAGCAATTTAATTGCTGTGGTAAAAGCTGTTCGTTATCTAAAAGAACAATGCAATACAAGGTTTCGCGCATGGCTGTATTATTCTGTGTGTGTTAAGGCAGACCAAACTCAAATCTATACTTTGAATTGTCAGGAGCAGTCCCGTGCCTCTGTTATTAATTATCCAGATTGCAAATCCTGGCTAGCTACACGCTTATTTTTATGAGATGTGGTAATTTCTTTAAATAACCTATAAAACATGTAAGATTATAAAGCATGGAAGGCTTATCTCCTTACTGCTGGTATACTAAGCAAGTCATAATGAGACATTTCCTGAAAAAATTATGTGCACAAATACAATACAAATACAATTTCTACAAACCAAACTTAAAACATCGTTCAATTTTAGTGTACAATTAGAATTCAACTCAAACTTTTCACTGCCAGAGAAAATTCAAGTTCAATTTAAGATTTATTAACCTTGAAAGGTTGGCGTGTAAAATAAAGTTTGATGTCTCTTAGATTCCACCTCAGGCCAAATAGTTGGTGCATATTTTTTCCCCACAGAAGACTGTAATATTTTTAGACTTACAACTTATTTCATAATCTTCTGCAGTAGATCTAGTTTGTTAGCATTAGCTTCTTTCGTCCTTCTTTTCGTCACAGTTATGGGTGTACTCAATAAATATTAAGATTAATGTTTTAAACCATGACAGCACGTGAAAAGTTTTTTAAAAGGAAGCAGTCCATGCGTGTACCACTTTAGACAGTACCTGCCAGATAGGTTCATTCAGAGGAATGCTATCTAGTACATGGAACTCTTATCATCTATTTCTGCTAACTTCTGCAAACACTGATGCAGAGTTGTCCAGTAAAGGCCTTTAACACACAGGACTCAGGGTGGATATCACAAGTTTCAAAGCGTCTGCAGGAGTTGCCAAATCAATGTGTGAAAACTGTGGTAAAACTCTATTTCTCAATACCAAAAATAAAGAACGCAAAAAATATCACATTCATCCTCTCCAACTGAATGCAAAGGACAAATTCAATATTTTAGCAAATCATCCGCATGTATCTATACAGCAAGAATACATAAAACAAAATGTCAATATTCAAAGCACCAAACCCTATGTACGTTGCCTATATAAATTTATATTTAACAAGTAAAAATGTTTAAATAGACTGTTTTTCCTAAAATATCTTATTTATAATACAAAAAGTATGCATATTAAGTATGCTTCCTGTGTTGTACTACTCTCACAAAAAATGCCAGTAGTACTGTTCACACATGAAGGTGTTAATGACACGTATTGATCTGTTAAAAGTAACTATGCATACTGTAATTGGCATTTCACCAATATTTTTAAGAATATTAAACATCTATACTTTTTTCTAGCTAAGACTTTTAGAGATACTTTTTTTCTAGAATTGTTCTTTCAGAAAAAAAGGGTATGCCTAAGAATTTCTTAATCAAACAAACACACTTCCAAACTTATTGTGTCTGGGGTTAAACATCTTCCCTTACTTGATATGAAAAATGATGTATGGTTTATGATATGTTCATGTTAGAACTAAGTAAGTTCTAAGTATTTAAACTAGTAAGTTTAAAATATTAGTCTTCAATGGGAATCACAATGCATCTAACTATTCAGTCTAAAGTGAAATCAAAGAGACATCAAGCTTTATTTAACACAGCAACTCTTCCCGATTAACAGAAAATCTTAAAACACTGCAAAGTCAAAGATTTAAGGCTAATCATCAAGGTCAGTATTGGTCCTTCCCATTACAGTACACGAAGTAATTAATATTTTCATTTGTTTGTTGTATGGAAGACATACTTTTAATAAGAAGAAACTTACATTTTTCTTCTTTTAGTATTATTTTATATAGTACTTTTCGTTAAATGTATATCAAAGTGGTTTATAGCAGAATAATAAAGACGCATATGTACAAAATATAAATGATGAATTAAACTGAATCAACAGCTAGACTACACAGCGCTTTTTGTTACTCTTGGTTAATGCTGAAAGTGCTAATTGACACGCACAATCTAACATAGGCTGAAGATCACTCTACAGCCCAGGAGCAACAGAGCCAGGGTTCAGAGCCTTGTTTCAGTTCTTTGGAAACCGGGGATAAAATACCAAAGTCCAAAGGGTATAAATGGCGTGTTAGTAAACAGTCAGTTAACAGCTTGCAAGATGTCAGAAGGAGTTCAACGATTCATGCCCACAAGGCTATGCAAGAATTTTTTAATTGCATTGCAAAATCCACAAGGGCCCAGTATAAAGACATCAGATGCTCATGCATTTTAGTTTTAGTGATGTTATGAGCAGCTGAGTTTTGAACATCCTGGAACTTAAGAACACATGTGGATACATCTTCAAGCACGGTTTGGCAATAATAAAGCCTGGTAAAGCCAAAAGCATGCAATAGGGTAGCTTTTGTGCACCAGGCTGGCAGATATGAATGGACATAAACACTGGTACGAATTTAAAAACCATATCTTCACAAATTTTGTGCACATGAACTTTAAATGTAAGGCTCAGATCAAAGATGACAACACGACTCCTGTCCATTGTGGACTGATTCTAACATCACCAATAACTAAAGTTAACAGAGGTGTGGAGTTGAGGATGAGAGCCTATTAGCATAACTCTGGTCTTGTCAGAGTCAAAAGCATCCCCTTTCTATATGAATAAAGATTTTTGGACACACCCGTTTGACAATGAAGGCTGTAATCTGCAAAGAATCTGACCCAACAGTAATACAGAGATATTAAAAAGAAATGGACCAAGAATATAGCCCTGTGGGACACCAGATGTGACCAATAACGAACAACCCCTGGCTTCAACTAATTATTTCCCGTGTGTTAGATAAGATATAAACCACCCGCAACAGAGTACCAGTTATACCAACAACCCTCTTGGGCGAGATGGAACGATATCTAAGTTTCAGAAGGTTGGGAAGAACAAGAATAGATAAAAGCAGCCAGCAGGAAATCATCAGAAACACTAACAAGAGCTGTTTCAGTACTACCCATCAAACTGAGCTCATCAATAGCCAGTGATACAGTTTAAGATACTGAACAGCATGCTGTCTTTACAGGAGACCAGTATGTCACGAAATCAGATTTTCTCTGGCAATCGAGAAACTCAAGTACGTTACTGTACAGAGCCACACTTCCCCCATAAGAAAATAGTTTCTGCTTCCAGTTTATTTGATGCAAAGGGGCTTTATGATCAGATTTTAGACATCTTAAGTTAAATCCAACACAGGACGCAAGTGTTAGGTCAGACAGATTACACTTATTATGCTGTAATAACAGCAGGATTCTGACAGTGGACACTGAGAAAAATTAAATATAAAATATTGCGATCCTATGCTCACATAGACCCACTGTCCTAAGGGAAATCATTTACATCATCATAAAATATCAAGAAAATTTCCATTACATCTATTAGGCTTCTTACTGTTATAAGAAGCACAGTCTGTAATGTTCTTGTGTTCATCATGATTCTCTTCCTAAACACCTATAGCATGTAAAACATAAAAATCTGAAAATCCAACAGGAAAGAAAATTACTGTCCTCTGTATTCTGAATGAGGTTACTTTTAAAATATTTAAGCACTTCTTTCAATACCATTGATTACTTACAGTACTTACCAAAAACATATAATATACCACACAGAACGTAACGAAAGAGAAACTTATTCTTTCCTGTTTGCTGGTATTTCTCCTTGTCAGGTTGACAAATTTAGAAAGATTAAGAGATTAAATCTTTACTACAAATAGAAAATGTTTATTGAGCAATCACTCCTGCCTAATTATTGTGTCTGTCTGTGTCCTAAGAGGTCTGGTATCCTCTTTAGGATGTAATCGCACGATATTCCCTATGATTTAGTGCTGGGTTCACTTCACAGGTGTGCTGTGTTACCTTGTTTTAAATTCATCTTCTGTATGGCTGAAAAGGAAAATGGAATATTAACATTTAAAATCAGTGCTCACCAGAAGAAAAAAAATTCTACACTTACGGCATTTACAGAAACTTACCGTCGACTTTTTCTGAACAGTACTCCTTCGCCTTCTCCCTCATCATCTTGGGAATCAGAACATCTTTCTCCACGTGGCGCAGGGAAGGTTCCCCTGAAGAGCACAATTTCACAACCTCAGTGAGAGCAGACAACAGACACCACGGCACGGGCAAAGTTTCTTACCCGCCAGGATAGTGAGGCAGAAGTGCGGAGATTCCAGATTATTCAAACTGAAATTATTACTTTTAAATGTAAATGCCAAGACTGAATAAGGTGTTCTTTTGGGAGACACCGGGCAATTATAAATATTGATCCAGCAGAAAGACCAGTCTTCGCAACCCTGCCAAAGATGGTGTCTTTCACTGTGGTGTACATCAGGGTTCCCAGTGCTGGTCCCAGGGAACCACACGCCTGCTGTTTCTCACTGCAGCTGAGCTCTTTACCTAAATAAATCCTTAACTCAACCAACAGGCTGCTGGGTTAGAACCTTTTCAAGCTTTTTCCTTCTTTCAACTCAAAGACAGGAAAATTTAAATTACTTAAGAAATGCCAGTAGTTCAATGCCAACCCTCCTACCTGTTTAAAAACTTAAAACAATTGAAGACTGTGCGTTACAGCTATTATTGGATCTGTAAAGATTTCAATTCATTGAGGGCTCAGGTGGAAAAAAAGTGTGTATTTCTCCAGAACCAGGACTGGAAACCACTTGAATTTTATGTTCATTTTGTTTTATATTTTGTGTGTAAAATCAATACACAGCTTCCTACAAAAAAGGCCTTCATGCCTTGTGTACCAGAAAAAATAAATTGCACAATGGCTGGGTTTTGCAGTTTTATTCCTATTGTTTTTTATCTGGAATTGATAGAAATAATTATTGCATTTTAAATACACAGCACTATTTACAATGGACTTGTAAATAGTGTTGTGTATTTAAAAAGGGGTAAAAACTTAATCAGAGAAAGACCTTAAATGAAACACAAGGCCATGCACTGTGTAAACAGATTTTTAAAAAGAATTTGGGTGGCTTATCGATGACACCATGTTCTTGTCTGTTCTGTCTTAAATATTTTAAATGATGTTTGCAAACAAAACAACTGAACTCCACCTTTTGAAAGCTTGCAGGCCAAACTACGAGGGATTTACATGCAGAATAAAAATTTCCGCCATGCAGTATAGTGCAAGACAAAGATATCAGAAAAACGCCACAAAAAATCCTGTGCAACCACAAAACATAAGAGACTGACATCATTCCAACAGCTGCTATCTTGTTACGAAAAATGACATCATCTTTTAAAGTAGATTTATTTATTTTCACTTTTTTTGATTACAACTTGACCGGGTCTTTTTTTTCTCCTTTTTACAGTGGCCCGATCGCAAAACCACAATGGAATGTGTTGATGCCTTCATTTCCAGCCACTGTAGATATAGTTCATTTTGAAATGTAGGGCTTGATTTTTTTTCCCCAGAAATACAAGCTTGTAACAGTCCTGTGACGTCCTGCCATTTGCAGAGAGAAAATCAGAGTGAGGGTGTCAAGAGAATGCTTCAGTTCAAGCTTTCTAATTCTGCTCAGACCTGCAGGACAAAGCCACCTCCCATAGTCCCCATGGTGATACTTCAACCACCCATGAATAATCCACCTAAAATAGTGTCAGGCTGGCAGTGGACCCCAGAGCACTCCTTTTTACATTAGCAGCTAAGCTAAGTCATCCTTGGTCACAACAGAAAACCCAGTGGCCCTTAGAACAAATATGTAACTTCTGTCTAGGCCATTACTGGGCATTTGAAGTAAAAGACTGGCAGCCTGAAACAGATTTCCAGGTTGTTGCAGATTCCAGACTGGGTAATTTTATGCTTACCGTTGCAATACAATTTAAAGAAAATTCGAAATCATGGAAGGGGAGCCAATGAAAATAATAATTGGACCATATACCACTTAGCAACATATATTTAAAAAAAAAAACATTACAACAAATTTTACTTTTAAATTTTACTTATGGGAATGAGTCACAAATTCTGCATCCAACGTTCAGAAGTAAAAGCAAAAGTGAAAACATTTTAGCCATAGCTAAAAGCATTTCCACAATATGTTGCTCTTTTTCACACATTCAAATAATAAGTAGTTCAAGTAGGGAGCTGCGTCAGCATGCGTAGGCTGCAGAGGAACAAGCAAAGGTTTATTCCATGCTGAAAAGAGAAGAAAGGAAACACGACGTTTCGGCCGTGGAGCCTTCTTCAGGTGTGAGACAGGTGTGCGGTGAAGACCTTACACCTGAGGAAGGCTCCACAGCCTGACGTTGTTTCTTTTCTTCTCTTTACAGCATGGAATAAGCCTTCACCTGGTCCTTCAAATAATTATTATCCACAACACAGCTTTATAAGGTTTGTACAAATATAATCTGAGAACAGGAGAGTAAAGGGAGCTTGAAACAAGCTAATCAGCTATTTTATTGGAGACAGAACCCTGGCTTCTTTGAAGAAAGGTCTGGAAGAGATAATCAGACCAATTAGCTACCAACTACCAAAGAGGCTAGATTCGTTTAACGGCCTCCTGTCATCTGGAACCTTTAATATACTGTTTTCTGACCTTGCCCAGAAGGGACAAGCCATAACAGCATGTTTGATCTTAAGACTACAAACTCAGCCATCCTCTACCACACAAAACTACAAAACAGAGTAAGATTTAATGATTAAGGGTTGTCTTACCAGTAGTTTACAACTTTATATGACCACGCATGCTATATAGCATGTCACCGAACCGCTATATTTCATATTTATATTATGTGTATTTTTTCACTAGCCACTAGAGACTGAAGACAATACAGTTAAGACAGCACTGGAAAACAGTAATTCCAGAACGTTCTTCCTGAAGGGGCTTGGAATGCTTTACGTATAGGAGGGTACAACCCTCATCCTTCCCTGAAGCACAGGACCCCTGTGGGAGACATGGGGCGCTCGTGTTGAGCCAGCAGCTCCTCTGCACAGCAGGTCAGGTGAGGCGCTGAGAGATGACTTCCTGCCCCGTTGACATGAACAGGTAAGTGTCAGTAGGCCAAACTGGGGAATTGAGTCAGGACACCAGGGTTAACGCCTCTGCTCTTAGGAACAGCGTCATTAAGATCTAGTTCGTGGCTAGTTTTCATTCCCTCCCGCCTACATTAGATCACTGAAGCCTTACTTGATCTAAGCAGTTGCTTCAATTGATTCAAAAACAGCATTTTGTTTCCAGTCACAAACCAGGGATTTTATTTCACTTACAAAACAACAATGGTTAAAGCTCCCAGCACGTTTAAGAGCTGGGCACAAACAGCTCAAATTAATCACATTATGAAGGCAGTAATATTTAAGTCAAGGAAGGGCCGGATTGTGTCATGGCTGGAGCAGAAACCAGCACTGGGAACCTCTGCTCCAGACCCAGCAGTTATGATCTCAGTTTAACACCTGATCTGAGGGATGGCTAATAGTGACTGCACACAAGTACCGTGAACCATTGTGTGCGACTACAAACACAAAAGATAAGGCACTTGCGGCCAAGATCAGTGATGCGCAATGCCAGATAAGCACATTTGTTTTCAGATTTATTGTATTGTGCCTTGTGATTGCTCATTTTAGAGCAGTTTTGCATGACAACTCACACACCACGCATTTACGCATTTTAACATAACTTCTATTACTTTTGCAATACGATATTCAGAAAATATCTGCATTGTCTGGGACAGTCTTGACTATGTCGCGAAATGCTTATTTACTACATAATGTAATGCTTTTGACGTTGTATGCTGCTAATTAATATTGACTGATCTCCCTTGTTCATGCAGCATTCTTCATGACTTTCATTGCAGACTGCAGGAAATATGGTTTAAAAAAAGTTAACAGTTTGCCCCCATCCAGTCATCGATATCCCTGATTGACCCTGTAATTAGATCAAGTCCTGCTATAGGCTCCCCATCTTAAAAAAGGTTCCCATTTCTAGCCTATGGAGAGTGTTATTCTGGCTCAGGTTTAGAAATCTGCAATACCTTGCTGGGAACAACTCAAGTGTTGACAACTGCCTTATAGACGAGTACTGGATTGAACTGAATGAGCCTGAGTGCAGCCGGGTTAAAATGCTATACCATCAGCCCCTTGCAATTATTACTAGCATGTGCTTAACAGATGCCCTTAACTGGAATGAATGACAGCACACACCAACGCTCAGGTGACATGGAAGTACAAACAACACAGACAGATTAGACAACACAGAAACCATTCTGAAATTACGTTTCATTCTTGCTTTTGCACATATCTTTCTGGTCGATGGAAAGAGCTCTGGTCAGGCTAGTAGGTCAAGCAGCTCCTTGAGGTTGACCTACAGTTCTTAGTGGCTGCAGTGCTTCTGTGTTTATGCTTCTTGATGTCACAGGAAACTATATTATTTAGCGAGACCATCAGAAAAAGCTCTGGGGAGTTTTTTTTTTTACTTGCAGAAGCTGTGCACATACTATATGAGGTAATAAGACACACACATTCAGATATTCTTCCTTGAAGGGTTTTAGGTCAAATATCAGAATCAGGCCTGGAGAATCACATTTCTTACTTTATTGTTGGTACTGAAGCAAGCAATTCATATTCCCAAGATAATTTATTAATGATTACAACACGTTTAATCACCTGATAATGTAATCGGGCCTTTCAAAAGCGCTGGGGACAATGTTTCTATGAACTTTGTCTATTCCTTTTATTACAGTGTTTGTATAGGTGACTTTAAACAGCAAAAGGGTGTCTGCCCTGTTCTGTGTTAACTTCATGAAACCCCGAAACATTTTTTTAAAAACCCCAATGTTTCCATCTGAACAGCAAAACTGATATCTGCAGGTAAGACACCCCAATTGTAAAACCACCCGCACGAAAAGATCGTGTGTCGCGCAAACTGCTCGTTGTTTTTTTTAAAGTATCCAAAACACGTCATAGGGACGCAGTAAAGAAGTTCACATAGTAAACAACCGCAGTTTAGAAACACGATAAGCGCCATACCATCTGACACCGGAGGGTCTACTCCACTGTGCCTTTTTCGCAATCCTAAAAGACGAATAAGGCTTTGCGTTACCATCACCAAGAACTGATCATAAGGGCCGAATGACATGCCAGTAATATTCATTTGAACGGGCTCTATGAACTGTCTTGAACACCCTGATGCTGTTACAAATGTTTGCTATATGAAATGTTTCAAACAGCACGGGGGGTGAGGGGGGGAGGGGACTCCGGCGATAACTCCAGCATTTTTTCTCCAGCCCTTTATGAGACGTCGCGCAATGTTTACGGTACCTGTTTTGGCTGACTCCATGGGTAAAGGAATTTGAATCTCGGGTTGCTAACGAGAAGCCAGTCCCCCGTCCGCACCGACCATGCTGGTTTCAAAGTGACCTTTCACATCCGCACCAGAAGTCCCGCCTTCCCCGGCGCCGCTCGGCCAATCCGGGGCTCCGGTGCCGACGGGAGCTGCGCCGGTGGGGATGCGCAGCACAAGCCCTGCTGGCAGGTACTCCGGGTTGTGCAAGAGCGGGTGTCCCGATACAGGTTAATAGCATCCTTACAAAACGCCTTAAGAAAGTAAGCGGAGTGGTGCACAACAGCTGCCTCTGCTGCCTAAGAGCCGGGACTTGACCCAGAGTTTAAAACGTTTTACCTCGCCAGTATACCCTTACATTAATGTTACACGGATCAAGTTCTATGCTGACGTTTAATGCGGTCAGGGAGCACCCCTTTTTTAGGTGCGTTACTTTTCTTCCCTCCTGGTCATTTCAGAAAACGAAACTCCGACTGGATCTTTCACCGGTTAAAAAAAAAAGTCGATGTGTAATTGCGTAACGCAGGCTGATGTTGGCTTCATTCAGAACGTTTCTGCCCTTTGGAAAGACGCCGACGTTAAATGCAGTGCATCGTTGCAATTAACAAGACCAGAATGAAACTTATTATTATTAGAGGGTGTTTTGATTAATAATATTTACCCCGTTTCATTTGTGCATGGATGTCAGATCGGTCATGTAATCAATACCGGGATCCCAACACGTTGATTCCCCTGTAGTCCTAATCTGTCAGGGCTGTGAGGCAAGTGGCCTTATTATTATTATTATTATTATTATTATTATTATTATTATT